AAGTTACTGAGGTGTGGCTATAGGATATTATGGAGCTAGTAGGTTGTAGAACATTATTACATTTATTGCGTGATTAAAAAGCATGCATACAGTGCAACAGCTCATTTCGATACAACTACTGAATTTATTTGTTCTTCTAATCTAAGAAAGTCTCGCAGAAGAGATCTTGCTGGCTCTCTGCCAGTGGGGCCAGACTTCAACCTCTTTCTCTCTGCTGGTATATAGTCTATAAGTGTTCAGGTTCCTAATACTTGAATAAATACTTGAATGCATACTTGCTGTTTTCCATTCTCCTTTCTCTCAGTAACAACCGAATGTCTGCTGCAAGCACCACGAAATATGGCTATGCGTGAGGCAAGTATCCAAATATATTGCTTAGTTAGATCGACCTCACAAATGACACTGTCAGGTCCATCCTGACTGGAATCAGAGGAATTTGCTCGGGTTCTGTGTAAACTTCCTGCCAGATGGTGTGGAAAGTTTGGATAGTGTGTGGGATTGACAGTTTACTTGAGAGGTAGATTAAAGTGATAATGGTATGTGCTATCAGGTTTTCTGGTATCTTTGAGCAGTTCTCAGTAAAGCTTATGTGCTTTGTTTAATGTTGTTTAAAAAAAAATCTCTCCTTTCATTCCTTAGCTTTTTCATTTCTGCCAACATTTTTTTTAATCCAGAGGAGGCAAGAGTATGTTTACCTTCTTTTTTCCATGAAAAGGTGCGGGAGAGTCATGTACCTTAATGCTTGTATGAATTAGTATTTTAGCTATGTTGTAATAACATTTTATTTATACAACTGTTATTCAGCTCCTATTTTTGTGAAGAAAATAAGTGAAATATATTAAGGTAATTTCCATACTTTGTAGAAAATTCTCTCAGCTCCTGCAGCAAAACTTAGTGGAAATACCATTTTTATGAGTAGGCATCCTCCAGGAAAATACTAATGTGATGTTTTTTCAATAATGGTGCTATTAGCCAGTTCATGTTTTCGTTACAGCATGAATGACAAAGGGGGAAAGAGTTTACTGTTGTTTTGGCAGCTATGATATTAATAGGGTGTTTCAGCTTTGCTTACTCACTGTTCACGAGCTGTTGCTGAAATTTCAAATCTGAGGATCATTTCACTGATATTATTCGCTATTCAGTATGTCCTCAGATGGAATATCATCTCAAGGTAAGGACCTTTTAAAACCTGGTCTTTGACTCCATGATGTGTGGGTGTTCCATGGCCTTCTACAAGGCTCTGGATGTTTGCCCTTTGTCTCTCCAGTGGCCTGACACAGAAAGGAGTGGCAGGTGCATTATGGGTTTAAGTATTGCTTAAGTATCTGTAGACTGTTCAGTGAAAATAACACACCTACTCATAGGCTGGCATTGCATATGATCAAGATGCCGCTTAGTCACACCCCTATTCTTAATGGAGTTTGGGATCCTGCCATATTTTGCATCGTTACTTGATTACAATAAATTTATCCTCTTATTCCTTTAAGCTATTTCAATTATTTATTAATCTGTGTATTGCTTTAAACAGTTTAGCAATAGCCTGCGTAAATACCCTGTGTAATTTTCTCCTGTAACAAAGCCACCAAATCCTTGCAATAGATTGCCCAACTGCCACCCTGCAGTGCCCCAGCTAGCTCATGGCCTTTCAACATCCAGCCAGCCATACTGATTCAGGTTGCCTTTTCAAACCCAGAGGCACCAGGTAATCACCTGCACAACCCTTCAGCTTTAGAATTTGAGAAACAGCATATTGGTTTTTTGTCTGATATTTTTTTTTCAGTTACAGGATTTTGCGCTTATTAGACAATAAGCATAAAAGAAACATCTGCTTCAAACTTCCCCATTCAACAGTTTAATGGCATGACTTTTTCTCAGAGTGAATTCCTGGGTACCGTTCACATCCTGAAGGAAATCCTCAGTGCAGTAGTTGCAGTTGCTCCCCTATGATATCCCAGTTCCAGAACAGGACACTGTAAGTAGAGCCTGATCAGCTGGAATAGTCTGGCCCTGCACTTCAAGATGTAGCTGTAATTTATACTAGAAATAAATTTGCCTTCCTCACACCCCAAGTCTGCATACTGAACAACCGCTTTACTCTTTTCCCCCTCCCTAGCTGCACGTGCTGTCTCTCTTAAGCATGACACAACCCTTCTGCAGACTCTCACCTTCCCTCCCTCAGGCAGTATCACACCTCAGCTCTCCCAAGCAGGACACAACCATTTCGTTCCCTTTTCACCCTGCCCTCCCTTCTGCTCTCTCCCACAGCACACGCCACCTCTCCCAAACAGGACAGAGCCCTTGTGCCCGTTTTCCTCTGCTGTCTCCTGCACACTGGGACCCGCTCTCGCAACCAGACCACTATGCTCGTGTGCCTCTGCTCCCCCTTTCAAGCCCATGCCTTTCTCCCAGCTAAATGTGATCTGGGGTTAATTCTAACTTTTTTTTTTTTAAACTGATTTGAATTATTCTGGCTATGGAAAGAGAGCAGAGACACTTTCTGAATGTAAAGCCTTTATTATGTATAGTACAGTGGTAGGTAAGGGAGTACATTAACATACTCACCGATGACCTGAGAAGGCTGGTTTTGCCTTGTTTCCCCACCAAGGTTCCAGGGGCAATGTACTACTTCTTGTTTAGCTAAGAAAAGTTTCTGCATTCTTCTGAACTTTGATTACATTAAAATAATGGGATAAGAATTTAATAATTTCATTTGATAAGTTGTGATACCTTCTATTGAAACCTCGTGACTCATTTGAGGAAGGACACCATGGCACTTTTATCCTGGTTTGCTTGAGAGAGAGGGGAACGCACAATCTGCTTAACAGACTTCACAGACTGATACCAGAGTTTCCTACATTCCTTCTCCTGAATTTTGTGTGAGTCAGGCTGGCCATGGTGTGGTGAGGTGCTTGAGGAGACTTCCATTAAGCCTGACCATCCTCTGCTTGGTCACGCTGAAGGAAAGGGGGCTGAAGCAGCTACCCAGGTCTTGACTCTTTGTGCCCCAAATTCACTTTTTTGCCCCAACTCATCTGCACCACACAGGTTACCCCAGCTCTGGCCCTCAGCCTGCACTTCACAGTCCCCTAAAAACATGCCCAGCCCCACCAGCAAACTTTTACATGGAAACCTGCACATTGTCCCCCAGCTGCCACTTGGCACTGCTTCCACACAAAGCCATCCTGTCCTCCAGGCAGCCAAAACACCCTGAGACCTGGGGCAGCATTAAAGTTGCCTGCACAGCACCGTTGTGTTTGCATGAGCTGAAGCAGAGCTGGGTTTGAAGGCTGGATGTGAATGTGACATTTACAAAGCAATCAGGTTCTCGCTGGGAGAAGAGCAGGTACAGCACCTGATTAGAGACACAGAGAGAACCTGCCCTTCTGTACTCTGAAGATGAGGGAAATGAGCAGGCTCTGTATCGGTGGGTAAAATCTTGAGGTCCACTTGCTTCCTCCTCAGTTCGGGTGCTGCAAAAAACCTGTAGGTTTGGGACAGGGTCGAGCACCTCGAAGTCGTTACCCAGCGCAGTTACCTGAAGCCTGCAGGCAGCCTGGAAGTCTGGCTCAGAGTTGTGCCAGCCTCCTCACTCTCACTGGGGAGCCCTCTGCTCCACAGCCAGTGGTTCTGGCACACGGAGAGCGAGTGCCCTGTTATGCTTAATGTGGCTTTTCATTTTACTTTCTTAATAATATTCAAACACAAGCCTGAAGTGATGGATCTGCTGTTTGCCACTAAAAGCACAGCCTCATCACTCTCTTGGGGAAAACTGTGCATTTGGAGTAACGTTTTGGTTTAATAGGGTTTTGTTTTTCCTTTAATAGGGTCTTGTTTTTGTTTTATTTATATATAAAACAAACATACGTATATTTGTATGTATAAATCTATGTAAATGTACTTACTTTTTTTTTTTTTTTCCAGAGATAGCAAGGCTCAAGAGGAATGTCTGTTTTGAAAGGTGGAGCATGGTAGTATTTAAGGTGGTTTATGATGGCTGCAAGAGTTCATTCTTTAGCCTCAGGCTCTGTCCTAGAAATTATATTAGCAGGTGGGCTTTATCCTCAGAGTGGAAATTGTCACTTTATCTCAGGAATGGAGCTATTAACTGCAGTCTTTATGTCTCATAAAAATGCATGAGAAACTATGCTATCCGTCCCACCTGCTTTTAAAGAACAACAAAAAAAAAGGAATTATTGTTAAAAAGTCTAGGCCCTTGATAACCATCATCAACTGGGAATCTGCCAGTGATCAAAAAGTTATCAGCTGGCTCCATTGGCAGGGTGACTTTTGACTTCCGTATCAGTTGAATGAGTTCCTAAAAAACAAGGGAGGTTTGCATCTGAGGTGTAAGCTACCTGAAAGTGAGAAAAGATTACTGTAATATTTTAAAAGAAGTGTTTCCTATCTTCCCCCAGACATTGTAATTAACCTGTATGAGGCCAGAGCCATGTATTATAAACGAGTGGAGAACATCCAAGCTATCTGTAGACCAGGCAACTTATCTACTTTACAAGCAGTCATGCAGCATCTAGTGCAGCGCCTCTAAGAATAGAATTTAAAGCCCTTCATTTTAAACAACAGTTGTGTGATCTGTAATTGCAATATACTGCTGTAAACTATACTCTGTATTACCTCTGACTGCTCGTTCCTCAGTGGGCTCTGAAAGAATAATTCAAACAAGTTTCATTTACTGTTGCTTCACGCTTCTTCAGCCCAATAATATGACTTGTTATCAGGTTAGCAAGCACTCCCTGCTCCCTTTCTTTTTTTAGAAAAAGATTGAACAGGTCCTAGAAAGTGCCTGCCAAATCGTATCGTAGTCCCCACATCTTCTGCTATTAATAATGTTCCCTACTAATTTCCAGTTTTGTTCTCTGTCAGTCTCTATGTTTGTGATCACACTCAGAGACCTTTTCATAACTCCTGGCTTGGGCACCGCTTTCAATTGACTCCTCTGGATGTTACATTGTGTGCTTATGATTCTGTGATACAATGCATACCTGTAACACACTTATCTCCACTGGAGATGAAGCTGCAGATCTGACCCAGACTGTGTGCACTAACTATCATGTTGAAATTGCTTATCATTATCTACAAATGGAAGTGTGAAATTACAGGATTCATGATTTGCGTTACACTGGAAGGATGTATAGAGTGTAAGTGTAATGAGAAATGATCAATAGGATTTTTTCCTTTATGCTTAAGAAATACGTTTTAGAAATAGTTTTAGTTAGGCCATTTTGTATACTGTGTTTTGGACGAGTGAATGAAAATCAAAAGGTGACATCTGTACCTCTCTGAAGTTCTGGAGAGAAGTGATACGCAGGAAGCTCTGCTGGCTTGGGGAAGTTTCACAATTGCCCAGATACTCAGTCTTGATAGGAATTAAGATACAATCTGGTGTGTAAGAAACATGCAGCGTGCCTTTGTATCTGCTTATCTATCCTTCTGTAGAATCCAGTTCCTGACACTGCCTCCCTGAAACCCCAAGCCATGCTCACGAGCCCCACGCAGACCTGTTGCCAAACTGCCCGCTGCCCCGTGGCTGATGGGTTTCGGGAAGGGGAGGTTGCAGCCAGAGCCAGCTGGCTGACTCATACAGTGACACACAGGCAATTTCTTAAAAAGGCGAATAAGTGTGTGTAGTTTTCTGTGGTTCTGCCTAGCCATTGCTAGTGAAGAAAAGCTGTATGGTAGTGAGGGGTAGAAGGGCTAAAGTCAGTGAGGTAGAGGAGGGTGTGTACAGAGTAGGGAGCAGACGAGTGGTGAAGCCCTTTCGTACATAGGGATGAATCTCCTCAGACCCACAAAACACGGACTGTATTTAGTATTCCAGACAGGACAGTGGCATGCTGGGGTCTGAGGCCGACTTCAGCTCCCTGTTTTATTCGAATGGATGGCCATGATTATGTGGAGTGGGGTGGCACTGTCCCCCCAGGCACGTGTGTGTGCGTATCCGGGGCCTGTGCGTACTTGTGTGTGTGTGCAGAGGGGTGTAGGCTGCGTGCACCAAAGGGGCAGGCATGGCTCTGGATCCTGTGTGAGCAGGTGGCAAGGGATCCCGGTGATTTTAGGGGTGCATGTGGGGACAGGCAGGGGCCCTGCAGCCTCCCGCTAGCCCAGAACACCCTTGCGTTAAGGACGTGCAGGGCTGCCGTGGGGCAGGGGAGAGCAGAGGTTGCTGGAGGTGCTTAGCAACTCTTCCAGGATGCTTCTCTGATTTTAACAAATCTAATCGCCCCCAGCACAGCCCCGCTGCATACAGCTGTACATTTGCATGCCGGCCCGCAGCAAGATGCGCCCCATTTGTATGTTTTTCTGGAGTTATCTAGTCTTATGAATCCCCCTTGGATTTTTGAAAAGGCCACGGACTTCCTGGAGATCTAGGGTAAGGAAACAGCCCAATTATGCCTTAACCACAGGCTTTTCATAACTGCAAACCACTCAGGTGTAGATCAAAGGCAGTGATGGAGAGGCACTAGACAGTGTGCCAGTGCCAAAACGAAGGGGAAAAGGCCTGCATAAGAATTATAGACTAAAACTGAAGGAGATCAACATCGCCTCTGTCAGTGCATCTCCTGTCAGTACCTGCCATCACAAGCTGGGAAGATCCTGCTCTACAAACCACCTCAGGCACTTCATGGCTGGCTCTGAGAGTGCCTCCTCAGCACAGGCAGCTGTGCCTCCACCGTCCAGGGTGACAGACAAAAATGCACAGGGCCTCCCCCATGGACAGGCACATGGCTTTGCTTCCAGGCAGCACCCAGAGGGAAAAACACAGATGGGGCAGGCACCAAGGCCTGGTTTACAAAAACCAGCCAACAAAACAACAAGCAAAAGACTCAGCATCTTCCACTAGTGGGTCCCAAAGGAAAAGGTAAGCCAAAGTTAAATTAGGATGCCTGATGCAGATGGATATTTGTTTATAGCTGCTTGGTAAATGATACCCTGGATGTAGAATCATAGAATGCTTTGGGTTGGAAGGGACCTTTAGAGGTCATCTAGACCACCCCCCCTGAAGTGAGCAGGGACACCTTTTACTCAGAGCCCCGTCCAACCTGACCTTGAATGTTTCCAGGGAAGGGGCATCTACAGCCTCTGTGGGTAACCTGTTCCAGTGTTTCCCCACCCTCACTGCAAAAAATGTCTTCCTTGTATCTAGTCTAAATCTACCCTCTTTCAATTTAAAACCATTACCCATTGTTCTGTTGCAACAGGCGCTGCTAAAAAGTTTGTCCCCATCTTTCTTATAGGCCCTCTTCGGGTACTGGAGGCTGCAATAACGCCTCCCTGCAGTTTTCTTCTCTTCTCCAGGCTGAACAGCCCTAGCTCTCTCTGCCTTTCCTCACAGGAGAGGTGCTCCAGCCCTCTGATCATTTTTGTAGCCCTCCTCTGGCTCCATTCCAGCAGGTCCATGGCTTTCCTGTGCTGAGGGCTCCAGAGCTGGGCGCAGGACTCCAGGTGGGGTCTCACCAGAGCGGAGCAGAGGGGCAGAATCACCTCCCTTGACCTGCTGGCCATGCTGCTTTTGATGCAGCCCACCATATGGTTGGCCTTCTGGGCTGCAAGCTCATACTGCTGCTTCTTGTTCAACCAGCACCCCCAAGTCCTTCCCCTCAGGGCTGCTCTCATTCCGTGCATCCCCCAGCCTGTATCGATACCGAGGGTCTGATGAAGACAGAGACTTCTCTGTTTTCTCCCCCTGGTTTGTGAAAATGAAGAGTTCGTCACAGCACATCAAGTGGCTGAGTCATGAATCAGAAGACTTTAGCAGCAGATTATAGCAAGAAAAAATAAAATTAAGCACTTCACTGTTGCCGTCTCTGAAACATGGACTTTCTGGAATGGTTGGGAGTCTTCTTTACTTATGCTGCACAATTAAATATTCAGCATTTCCAGCTAAATTTAGGCTTATTGAAGTAAACAATGATGCATAAGGGCAGAACTGGACAATTCCATTTTTAGGTATTAATAATTCAGAACCATATTTGAAAACAACAGAGGGATATGTACAATACATCATAGAGGTTTTTATTATATCCACCCACTGCCTACCCACCCACACAGAGATCTGGATACTGCTTTTACTTGGAAACAATATAGCATCATCATATCTTAGGCTTGTTTAAGTATACAGATGTACAGCCTACATTTACAAGAATGCAGTGTTTTATGTGCAGCCGGATGAGTCATTCTTTTTTTCCTGCAATCAGATCAGCCTCTTATTACTTAAAGTTGGTATTGACAAACATTCATGCTTAGGATAACAGAAACTGTGTTTACCAGATTACACAAAAATAGAGAAAACTGCATTCTGCAATGTGGAAAATATTCTAGGATGAAGATCTGCCACTGAGATCTCCATTTTGGTATTACATTTAAAATCTGAGTACTTTCATGTATCACATATTATTATTTATCTTGTCACTTAAGGGCATGTAAAAAGTTTTTTGCTTTGGGACCTATCTGATAAATTCCTTGTGCAATACTGGGTGTTACCTGTGTGCTCCCTGTCACCACCTCTGACACCAAAGCAGCCACAGCACAACAAACTACATGGGGTGCGTGGAAAGGGCAGGAGAAGAAAAGGAGAGACAGTGAATGCATCTGTTAGGGATGTATTTTTACTGCAGTCTAGGGCTGTGGTTTTATTTAAGGACTGATACCATTGCTGGCTTTCAACAACTTCAAGATTGATTTAGCTCAAGTGTAAGAGGCTCCAGGGTGTTTTGCTTGCCCATGGTGCCGAACCAATGGCTGCAGAGACATAAGTGTCACTCCTGCCCCATCGGCCTTGGGACCTCTTCACCCCAGCTGCCACCTGCAAGATGCACAGGGTGAGGAGATGTGTATGCAAGACTGATTTCACCTTTCTGGACATCAGTCTAAATGCTGCTCCGTAGACACTGTGTAAGAGATTCAACAGAGAGTTAATAACGTAAGAAGCCAAATTCAGCCTGGAGGAAGGAGATGAGTTTCCAGCAAGTAAATTCCAGCAAGGGGCCAAATTAGGCAAAGACGTAACATACACCTCAAGTGAAAGAGGTAAGCAGCTCAGTCCCTTCAATGAAATTGTTTCAGGTTTATCCTGGTGAAATGAAGATCAGAACTTGCCTGGAGGGAGCTTGCTTTGTTTTATAGCTATCGAGTTATTTTTTCTGCTGCCCAGACCATCTGTTCCATCGGTGGGTATGTCATCATTCGCACACCCACTGAATGCCAAATTAATCCAAGTCACACAGTTTACACCTCCCTTCTGACTTCGACCAAACTATATTTTATTCCATCATAAAATAGACATCAGAGCTAAGTTTGCCTCACTCTCTTCCGAGGAGGAAAGGGTGAGCTTTGGGGCTAACTCTAATCCCCTAAGAGGATGACCTTAAACCACCAGAACTTTTGTAGCGGGTCCCACAACAGCTCATCAGCACTGGGCAATAAGGGATGGCCCATGGGAAGAGGGATGCAGAAGCAGAGCAAGGACACAGCCACGCTGCCAGACGCCTCTCTCATACTCCCAAGATCTGCATCTTTGGGAAACTCTGAGTCTTTGTATCCAGTATCTCTCAAATGGATTCCCTTTCCATTAATCTTTTAAGCCCACAGAGACTTTTTGTGCCCGCAGCCTCCTGTGGCAACAAGTTGCACAGCTGAATTGTAATCTGAAGAATTACCCCCTTTTGCTTTCTTTGAAACTATCACTACTGATTTCATTTGATGTTATATTGGAAAACAGCGAACAGTTATTCACCATTTGCATCCTTTTAGCCACTTAAGATTGTTTAGACTTTTATCATGTGCCCTCCCTGGTTCTCTGTTCTCCCAGACAAAGGTTCCTGCTCTCGTTGACCATTTCTCACGTCAAAAGTCTTCCAAACTTTGGAGCATCTTTGCGTTTTCCCACTCACTTTTTTGAGCTGGGAGGATGGGGACAGAACAGCACACACTATTCAAATGCAGTCACACTGTGAATCTGTGCAGTGGCGTCATGATATTTTTCTGGTTTGGTCTTCATTTCTTTCCTAACATTCGATTTGCTTTTTCAAATGCTACTGAGCACTGAGCTGACATTTTCATAGACCTCTCTATAATAGTCTTGAAATTGCTTTCCACAGTGGTAACAGCTATTTTGGAGCCTGTCATTGCATATGTATAGTTGGGCTTTTTTCTCCCATGTGCATTACTTCACATTTATCAATATTGTATTCAGCTGCCTTTTTATTTCCAAGTCATTCTGTATTATGACATCCTTCTGCAGCTCTTAGCAGTTGGCTTTAAATTGACTTCTTCAAATAACTTGGTATGGTCAGCAAACTTTGTTACTTCATCTTGTCCCACTTTCCAGGTCACTTAGGACCAGATCAATCAGTGTATTCCTGTGGGACTCCACTGGCGATCTTCCTCTACTGACTTTTATCCTTTGTGTCCTATCTTTTAACCATTTATTTCTCTGTGAGAGTACCTTCTTTTTATCCCATTTCAGCTTAGCTTCTTTAGCTTCAGGTTAGCTTTGAAAATGCAGCTTGATGACCTTGAGAGGAACCTCAACACTGATTGTATCCGAAAGCAACTAGGTGGGACACTATGGAAATAGGACCAAACTGACTCTTTTTTGTTGCAATTCAAATATGCCATTTCTCCCAATGCTCACGAAAGGATGCCTGAGACAAACAGCTGCTGCACAAGCATGCCCCAAAGATGTCCATACTCAAACTGAAGAAGCCCACAGACATCTACCGTAACAAAAAGCGCAGCTGTTTGCAAAGATCTAGATTTACTCCATGTTTGAGTTGGGATTCACTGGGACGTGCTGAAGCTTCCTGGCAGTAGAGGAACATAATTAGCTGTGCTTTGGGGAGCGGATATATTGATCTGAGTTGGTGTCAGGTGTGAGGGAGACTGTGGCCTGCAGAGATGAGGTCACTGAAATGTGCGGTTGGGAGACAACTGTGGAAGCTGCTGGCAGATTTGCAAACCTGGGAGGAAAACAGTAACCATGGCCTTGGGAACAAAGGGCAGTGGAGGCAATTATCGAGTGAGATGTTTCACAAGGCAGCTCTGCACTGAACGCCAGAGCAGCAGTGATTTAATGTTAGGGGTGGTCAAACGAATAGCACCAAAAGATATTTAAAAATACTGAATTGTGAAACTAAAAGGTAAACACATAACTGTCACATTGGACTCATTGTTACACAATATTGCTTGAATGATGATTTCATCAGATCTCCAGTCTTGCATGGGCTAAATCAGCTTGCCTGGTGACAGGTCTGTCTTTTCAACTCTGCTACTGATGTTGCGAAACAGCTTTCTCTAGTGATCGTTCCCATCCATCCCCCAGGTCTCCCTGACTAGTCCCAATATCTTTTTTGATATGCCTGTTCATCTGCTAAAGTCTATATCCCTTTCTGGTGGCTTCTTTTTCCTTCTATTGAGAAAAAAAATGTTCTATATAAGTTTTCGTCTTTTACTGTAAAAACCGTGTGGCATTGTGAGCATTCAGTTCTTTGAGATCCTCAGCTGAACGGGCTTCATCTCCCAGTTCCCTGGGTTCAGCAAAGTTGGCCTTTTTGCAGGGAAGAACCTTAGTTCCACCTCTCTTTCTGTCTAACTTAAAGTAGGTCACTCTGCTCAAAATATCGACGCACGTAAAATGAAGTGCTTCCAGAGCACAGCAGGACTGCACTCTCTGAACGGGAGTGTGAGTCAGGGAGGGTTAACAGTGAGTAAGGCAGGTGAAGGCTAACCCATTACTTGTGAACGAGCAGGCGTCTGGCAAGAAGCCTTTGTAACCTGTAGCAGAAAGCTTTGTAACCTGCAGCTGAAAGCTTCAAATAAAACTTGATGGCCGAAAGCTGGGTTGTAAAGCCGAGGCACTGCCAGCGCCAAGGCAGGGCGTGAAGCACTCTCCCGGGGCATGGCAGCTGAGGGCGGCTGTAGCCGACTCCGCGGCGGGGGGGGGAGGGGGCGCCGGAAAAGTGCCCTGGGGGC